CTCCAGACTGTAACTGTATTGAGCCATGCTGGTTCTACATGAAGAGAGAGACTACAAAGAAAGGAGCTCCACAGTCAAGAACGGAGGCAACTAGAATCTGGCTAAATTGCTGGAGAGATCTCCCACAAGCTAAGATCCAAGCTTGGATTGAGCGTATTCTTATACATATTCCAAAGATAATTGAGCTACAAGGTGGTAATGAGTATATAGAGGGGAGAGATAGGCGTTGTGTAGGAGAGCGGCCAGATTTCGGCTAAATTATTCTTGGCAGGACAAAACTTTTGTGAGGCACCTCCGTATACATTATTTTTTTACATTTACCGAGAATTAAACCCTTTTCTATATTTAGTGGAAGTATTCATATTTAGAAAAGCGTATAAAGTGCAGATAATTTGTAAGGGAATATACTTTTGGAGGGACATTAGCAATAAGAAAAGGGGTGAAATCTTAGAGCCCTATTTAGTGGGAAATTACTCATTAATTATAAAAGTTCTCGCGTATCTAAATTTAGGAATAGATTGTGACTCAGATTCGTCAGCTGCGCTGACTCGCGTAAGGTAGGTGCCGACGCTTATTACGATAACGTACCCTAACCAATATGAGGCGGCGAAAGAGGCCTGATTCGTGCCGAAATAGGCTTAGCGTTAGGGTTGCATGCCGGATTCGGCGGTTCCATCACCCCCGATTCGCGAAATCTGACACCCCCGATTCGCGCTTGAATAGGCTTAGCGTTAGAGCTCACTCAACCCTAAGTTTATTCTAAAATAGGCCCTAGAGGGCGTTAAAGTATAGTAGGTAACTAGAAAAGGCTTTTGCAGTCTCTGCAGTAGTCGCGCAAAACTCGCAGCTTCGTATATACAAGTGTATAGGGTGGTCACTACAAATAGGGTTAGAGTTAGGGCTTAACCCTAAGCTAACCTTAAGTTTAGGGTTACACCTACTACAAGCACTTATTAGCAACGCGTTATAACTATAGAAGTTAAGAGAAAATATAGTATAACTAAGAAAAGATCTTAACTTGCTATTCGTGCTAAGATTGAGGTAGATTAGAGAAGGGGGGCTTTTAAGTAGGGCAACTATTGCTCTCTCTTAACTCTCTCTACTATCTCTTACTCTAAACGCGGCGCGATGTAATAAGAGAACGATACTAGTGTTAGACTGTAAAGGGTTTTCTAATCAAGGATTGATTTAGATCACTGTGATAAAAAGACTGTAATAAACTTAGTAGTTAAAAACTAGTTGTCTTGATTGCTCTGTCTTGCCTCTAGCGGCGCGCAGGCCCGCCGCCTTATAGGTGCTATTACTATTATTTTATATCACATAGGCGGCTAAGTATTAGCCTCGCCTAGGGATAGGCCTTGGCGATCAGCCCTAATTAGCTGGGATCACAGAATCCAGGTGCTCAGTCATACCCGGATTCTGCCACTTATCTGACAACTAGCTAGGGGTATTTTAGAAGGTTTTCTAGATACCCCCCTACTATTACTTTCTTTCTATCTAATAGCAGCGCAACTTATAACGCCCCTAATAGTGGCTCCCAGCTAACTACTTAGATGCTCCACACCCAGGTGTTACACGGGGTTCGACTATACTTAGCTAGGACTCGATCCGGGTTAGGGCGAGTCAGCGGGTTCGTGGTAAGCCGTGTGATTGCCGAGTAATTTAGGTGGAAAAGAGTTATGGATGTTTAACCGATAGTAAAGACAATTAATTCTATGGTAAGATAGAATAACAAAGTACTAATCTTGTTAAGTAAAGAACTTGTAAGAGAGTACAGTATAATAAGTTGACCACAACGAGTGTAATAATGAAATCCAACACATTCTTATACCCATCGTGTCTGTCCTGATGCTCCCTATTCTCCCTCGGAAGCATGTTCCCATGGGAGCAGTGGGAGCACAATTCT